TGCCCCTGCCCGGCCCGGTGCCCGCGGCTCAAACACAAACACGACCAGCCACGGAGGACGCGGCGCAGAGGGGAGTCCGGCCCCAGCAGGCGCCACCCACAAGCGCAGGTGCTTCCCGCTCACCGGCCACCTGAAGGTCAAATCCAAACAAACGCAGCGGGTCAGGGAGGGAGAGCGGCAGCAGCTGAGAGGCCCCAGCCCGGGCTTAACCTGTCCTCCTGTCCTACTCAGCCCCTCGACCGCGCGGACCCGCAGTGATCGGCTGGCGGCCTCCGCTCTCGTGGACTGTTCAGGCGCCAGATGTTGGGGTCCAACCCCAGCAGGTCCAGGGGTTCCGAAAAGTGTGGACAGAGTCAGCGAAGAAGGAATGACAGGGAGACAGCGTTCAGTTGATCAGCAGCCTAGCCAGGTTCTCCAGCCAGGTTGTGTGTGTTATTGTCCTGTTACATCTGTACTTATACCAGTTGATTTTAATCCTATCCATTCTATTCCAGAGGTTAGGGCCTTTCTTCTCTCCATCCCAAGGTTACTCTATTGTTCTATTAAGCTACAAGGGAGTAACTGAAATTATGTAGCTTAAGCCTGATTGTGCGTAGTTAAAGTGATTAATTACCCGCCTGGCACTTAGTTAAGGGGTTTTATTCCCTCCCTAACTCCTGGGAAAAATCCCCACCTGGGAAACAACCTTTCTCAGAGAGGTGACCTTGGTTAAAACAGCGCTAAGAAGGGGAGCAAACATATTACAGTGGTTCTCAACCTTCCTGATGCCGCGACCCTTTAATACAGTTCCTCATGTTGTGGTGACCCCCAACCATAAAATTATTTTTGTTGCTACTTCATAACTGTAATTTTGCTACTGTTATGAATCGTAATGTAAATATCTGATATGCAGGATGTATTTTCATTGTTACAAATTGAACATAATTAAAGCATAGTGATTAATCACAAAAACAATATGTAATTATATATGTGTTTTCCGATGGTCTTAGGCGACCCCTGTGAAAGGGTTGTTCGACCCCCAAAGGGGTCGCGACCCACAGGTTGAGAACCGCTGCTCTAGGTTATATGACCTGCTGTCACCATCTTGAAAGTCTTGGTACTCAAACTTGTCTTTTGTAAGTGCAGTTCAATCGAACAATGGAGCACATGTGTGAGCAAAATGAGATACATGTAATATGCATGTTCACTGTTCCTTGCCACCCCATTCATCCTTAACATTTGAGATGTCCTGCAACCAACTAATCCCAGTGGACACACAGTAGGTGGAAATTCAGTGAGACTCAGTAGAAGATAAGATTGCTACTTCTGCAATTAAGTGAGTAGGGTGAAGGAAACCATTGACAGCCCTAAGAGGCCACAGTTAAAGTTCTGACCAAAACTTTCTTCAAACACAGAAAGAAGACAGACAGTGACATTTGAACAAATACATATAACCAAGAAACACTATTATATTCTTTTTTATTCATATTACTTCCCTGTATAAGCCACTCACTTAGGCGTAAAATGATGATAAAGAAGGAAGAGAAATATCCAACAACACTTATTTCCTTTACTTTCAGTCCTTCCTTATTCATCAGTACCTTATTCATCAGTAAGCTGAAGGTAGAGAGTGTTGATAGGATGTTGTTCTTATTGTGAAATGAAATTTAAAATGTTCAGTTAGTTTTATGCATATTTTCCACTGTCTGGTAAGAATAAAATACACATGCATATACAAACTATGAAACATGAATTCTGTATTTTTAGTGATCTACATACAAGATAAATGCTCATATAAAACTGCATTGCACTATATATATATATATATATAAAAGACTAACATGTAAAGTGTCCCCGCAGGAGTTTGACCAGGAGACCAGGAGTTCTATCACTCGCTATATTATACACTGACCACCAGGGGGCGGTGCGGAAAGAAGAAAGGCCCTGGCTGGCAGCTGGCAGCCAGGGAAGGGAGGCCCTGAGCAGCCAGATTTGACCAGGAGACCAGGAGTTCTATCACTCGCTATGATATACACTGACCACCAGGGGGCGGTGCGGAAAGAAGAAAGGCCCTGGCTGGCAGCTGGCAGCCAGGGAAGGGAGGCCCTGACCAGCAGCCAGAAGGCCCCGATTGGGCCTGATTGCTGGCCAGGCCTAGGGACCTGCCTGTGTACAAATTTCGTGCACCGGGCCTCTAGTATAGAGATAAATGGTAAAATTCACATTCAATAACAATTTACAATGTTAATTTTCTTTACTTAGAATGACATTAAATAGCAATCAAATAGACAAGTTAGGAGACAGAGCATGCAAGTAAAGAAAAAACTTTATATTGTAGTACCTTTAACAGTACTTTTTCCCCCTACTTTTGAACAAGGGGCCCCACATTTTTATTTTCCACTATGTTTTGCAAATTTTGTAACCAACTCTGATTAGCAACATGTCTTATGGAGTTTGAGGAAAACTTCACAAAAGTTGAGTCTTAAGAGACTGTTGGAAATAGGGAAAAGTGAGTTGAGGGAAATAGAGAGGAGATTTGAGGCAGAGGGAAAAGGATGTAGTCTAGTTTCACAGTCTAAGGAACACGGCTCCCACAGGAAATTAGAAGCTGTTTGGTTTATCTGGATCTTGAGTTAGGTCAGCATGGTTGAAGGCTCTGGCAAGAGATGAATCTGAACAAAACAAGACAGACCAGATCATGAGAGTGCTAATGTACACTCACAGGTGATGGGAAACCAATGGAGAGTTTTAAATGAGCGAGTTGCAAGAGAAGATACATATAGAAAGATCTTTAGTACCAGCTTTGATTCTAAGGGTCTCATGCTATGAGTCCTACATGGTCTTTGACCATGGACTTTCCTTTCACCTAAATGTTACAATGCTAGTTATCAAGCAGAGCACCATACACCAGTTACCAATCGCAGGGCAGGGAGGTGGGGGGGGGGGGTCACTTTAAACACCTCTTAGTACCAAAGTTACCAAAGAAAATACAACATAGTCAAGCACTAGATGGAACAGAGCTTTACTTACATAAAGAAGAGACAGACAACACAGAGGAACATGGAGAGTATTATGCTGAGAGAAATAAGCCAGTCAGAGAAAGATAAGTATCAAATGATCTCACTCATATGTGGAATCTAATGAACAAAATACACTGACAAATAAAATAGGTTCAGAGGCATGGAAGCATGGAACAGACTGATGACTCTCAGAGGGAATGGGGGAGGGGAGGTGGGAAGAGATTAATCAAAGAACTTATATGCAAATATGGACACAGACAGTAGTGTGGTGAAGGCCTGGGGAGGGAGTGAGAGTAGGCATCAATGAGGGGGAATAAAGGGGGACATCTGTAATACTTTCAACAACAAAGATAATAATCTATATATATATAAGGCTAATATGCAAAGTGTCCCCTTGGGAGTTCGACTGGGAGACCGGGAGCTCAATCGCTCATTGCGATGTGTGCTGACCACCACGGGGCAGCACAGAATGAAGGAAGGCCCCAGTCAGCAGCCGGAAGGCCCTGATTGCCGGCCAGGCCTAGAGACCCTACCCATGTGCGAATTTCGTGTACTGGGCCTCTAGTAATAAATAAACTAAAAATAAATAAAAGACATTAACAATTGTGCTACACATGCCAGGTCTTTCATAAACTGTATTTTAAAGGTATCACCTGTGAGATTCACCCATGGAGCCAGGTCTTTCAGCTTACAAGAGCCAATTATTAAATTTTCAGAAATTTTGCTAGCCAATTATTAAACATAGTCATTGTTAAATATTAAATATATAGTTTTACACTTAAATAAAATAATAGAAACATGGGTGATAATTTTTTTAAAAAGAAGAGACATAGTAAGATAAGCTTTAATGGTTTCCCATGGCCAGCGGGTCTCTCCCAGCAGCTGACACAGGGCCATTTGCCTATGTGCACCCTTTTCTGCCTCAGCAGAAGGTACCCTATTTCCTCCTCACCTCTGTGAGGATATAACAGTGGGTTTGGCCAGGTGTCATGTGACGTACACACTTTAAGCAGAGACAAGAGTACTCATTGCACCTGAAACAGGGAAAGGTATTCCCACACAAGGTGATAAGCCCAGCACAGGCTGTGTGGGCTCTTTATCTCTTGGTAAGACACAAGGCCCATTCTTGTGCAGCTGAATGGGAGTTGAATGACTACTAGCATTTGAGTACCTTTCCCAAAACAATTTATCCTTCAAAGTCCAGATCAAATGCCATCTCATCCTTGACTCCTTCAGAATCATTCTAAACAGTGCAAAGGCAATTCACTGGAGAAAGGATAGTCTTGCTAACAAATAGTACCAGAATTACTGGGTATGCAACAGATAAATTTTGATCCATACACAAAAATTAATTGAAATGGATCATAGACCTAAATATAAAACCTAAAACTAAAAATTCTAAAAGAAGACATAGGAGAAAAATCTTTGTGATCTTGAATTAGGCAAAGATGTATTACATGTGATAGTGAAAACATAATCCATAAATGAAACAATTAATAAATTTGACTTTACTAAAATTAAAGATGTTCAACCACTGTTAAGAGAATGAAAACACAAGCCACAGACTGGGG